TCTTAGGAATAAGAACAATAGAAGTAGAAGTAAAATACTTAGGCATCTGATTACCCTCAAAGAAATCTAGCACAGCAGCATAGAGGTCATCCTTAATAATATCCCAAGCTTTTTGAAAAAAATTAGTAGTAAATCCATCCGGGTCAGCCACAGAATTGCAGTTCATATCAAAAACAATAGTTTTAAATTCCTCAAAAGGAGGGCTAGAAAGCATCACATTCTCCACATTCGAAATAAGTTTAGGAATAATAGCCGGGTTAATCAAATTAGAAGGAGAACAATTATTATTAAGCCTATTAGAAAAATGTTGAACAGCCAACATAGAAATTTCCTCACCATTATCAGTGAATGACCCATCATCACGAGCAATTTTAAGGATAAAATTAGAAGAACGTTTACGATTCACCAAAGCATGAAAGAATTTAGTGTTATTATCACCTTGCACCAAAAACTTAGAGTCAACCTTATGTTTCCAAAAAGTCTCTTCTTGAGCCTGAAGATTAGAAAGGTTAGCTTTAGCCTCTCGAAGAGAGGCAAAATTAGTATCGGTAGGATAATTAAAGCAAAAACTTTCTCTACCATTAACCAATTCTTCAGCATACAAAAAATTAGAGAAAATATTTTTGAAAACATGCCGGTTCCACCAATTTAAAACCTGTTTAAGCCTCTTCAATTTGAACCAAAGCCTAACCATACCCCCAATAGAATTATCAGGGTGAAGACAAGCATTCCAATTTTCTTGAACAATACCCAAAAAAGACTCATGTTGAAGCCACATATTTTGAAATCTAAATTGAGGAAAAACATTCATCTGATTATCATTGAAAGAAAGAAGTAATGGAGAATGACCCGAGAGAGTGCGACTAGGGTGCTCAACGGAAATATCATTAAAAGAATTAAGCCAATTATCATTAAAAAGAATACAGTCCAATCTTTGCCAAAGCCGACCTCTATTCTAGGTAAATTGATTACCAGAGTAACCAATGTCAATGAGATTACAATTAATAATCATATTATTAAAATATTACATGGAATAAGAGCTAGGGGAAGAGCCCCCAGAACGCTCAGAGGGAGAGGATATGGCATTAAAATCACCCCCAACCAACCAAGGGCCATGAGACAAAGTACATAAATCAGCTAATTGATCCCACAAAACTTTCCTGATGCCACGAGAAGATGCCGCATAAACAAAAGATGCATAGCACTTAATATTTAAAACATCAATATGACAGTGCAAAACTTGGGTAAAATTACCAATAACGTCAATCTGAATCAAATCTTTCCAGAAAAAACCCAAATCTTATTAGCATAATTCATATGCTTAAAACCAAGAAATTTAGTAGTACTAGTTAACTTGGAAACATTAACAAGAGATTCAAGCAAAACCAGAATAGAAATACCATGAATACGACAAAGATTCTTAACCCAAAGTTTAGAAGAAGCACCCCTAATGCCCCTCACATTCCAAATAATTGACTTAATCATAAAAAATAGGTTAACAGTTATTTTTATATCTGGTACTAACACCAAATTTTAAAACAAGATTAGAATTTTTTCCTGATTAAGACATAGAATTTTTTCCCTTTTTCCCACGTTTACTATGCCCTTTAACATAGCTAGTATCCAAATCATCTTTAGCAAAACAATAAGCAGTGCATTTGAGATCATCATTATCAGAAAAGTGATCAAAATTGGGCAAAGAGTTAGAAGGAGACTTACAATCCGGCAGAGAATCATTATCAATACCACATATTTGAAACTCACCCTCTTCTAAAGAGTCCTCACCCTCCATCTCTGAAATATGTAACCCAAGATGGGTATTTTCTAAAACAACCAAATTCTTTTGACTGGACTCACCACCAACAAAAGGAATAATCTGAAGAGACGGATGAGGCAGTTCCTTCTTACCAATATCGCATAAATCAACACCAACATTAGTAGTAACTTGATTAAGAGTAGAGTCATCCGATTTAAGAGTAATTAAAGAAGAAGAATCATTAAACATTTGCTTATCCAAGGATATATGCACAGCTTCACGAGGTTTAGGATGAACAATCTCCAGCGAATCCTGAACCTTCTCAGGAATAATTAAAACAGGGTTCGGATCAATCATAGAATATAAAGGATCATTAGTAACAATACTAGGGAAATCTTTAGAAACAGAGTTATTTTTAACAGTCTCCACAACTTTCCGGTTATCATTTCCAGTAATAATCTCAGGATGCAGATTCACAATATCGGAAGGAGCTTCTGTGACGCCCCAGGCATCCATAGTGAAAGGATTCGTCGACAGTCTCGATCAATCTCCATTCCTGCTCTTTCTCTCTCCTACCTTCTCTTTCTCTCTCTTCAAATGATCCAAAATATCTCAAATCCGATATTTATTAACACTGATCGTCCCGGACGATCCAAAATTCGTCCTGGTACGATGTGCTCTCTGGACAAATTTCGTACAGACGAAATTAAAATTCGTCCCGGGCGACTTGCTCTCTGGACAGATTTCGTACAGACGGATCGTCCCGATGCTCCAGGTTCGTACAGACGAAAATGATAGATTTCTTCACAAATTTCTTCAGTTCGTCCCGTACTAAATCCAGTTCGTACAGACGAACTGCACTAAAAAAATCAGCTTTTAAGGGTTTTACAATCTACCCACCTTAAGAAAAATGTCGTCCTCGACATTTCACTTAAGGGATCGAATGCAAAATCGATACAAAGCAAATCCGTCCAATCAAAACTCAAATCAAAATCAATTCGAATCAAAATCAAAATCAAAATCAAAATCAAAACTCGTCAGAATCCATACAGTCATTCAATGCATTCAATCACATGTCATTCAATATGTATGCAAAACGATACACTTGAAACAATCCATTCTATCAAACTATCAATCAAATCCTTTCACTACACTTGCTCTGATACCAATTGTGACGCCCCAGGCATCCATAGTGAAAGGATTCGTCTGACATTCTGATCGAACTCCATTCCAGTTGCCTTGCTCGGACCTGAAAATATCAACCACATATAATGAGCTTTACAAAGCCCAGCAGGTCACCAAAGCCTACTATTGAAATCAAAGCACGGCGATGCTATCAATATGCATGTCAGTCAATCAAATCCATATCAGTCAATATTCAATGAGTCTATGCAATACGAAAATCCATAGTCAATGAAAGATGCCCTAGGTTCCAATTCGCCTAAAATGTGTGAGAAACGGTAATGATGCGGGAGGAAATCTGTCGAATATGGGAAGAAACCACGGTTTGGAAGATATGGTGGGCAAGGTCGATTCGGTCGAAGGAGGAGTTGGGGGTGGCTTGCTGGGTCGCTTTGAAGAAGGAAACCATATAGCTTCTAATTCTGTTCGGTTATAACATTCATAATGGTCTATAATAAGACAAACATCATTTATAAATTAGACTATAATATCTAAATAAACTATTATTTGTCAAATTCTACCTTATAGATTTTTAAGGGATTACATTACTATTTCTTAGTCAAATATTTATAAAATTATTCTAATATTAAAATATATTTAAATATATTAATAGAAATATTAAGTACATATGTTAAACATATAAATTTGTAAATATACTCAGAGTAAACAAACACTCGAGAGTATTTTGGTTGGTTCCTGAATTGACTGCAAATGTGAAATATTATAGCTTCTCATTATCTTTATATTATCTACTATAAGAAACTTGATTCATCTCCTCACTTCTCTCCTCTCTTCTCTATTTCCCTTCTGCGTCTCTGTAATTTTCTTGTGATATGAGGATTATTTCAATAATTGGTTTCTTCTCCTCTTTATAATGGCCATTTTGGTGGTAAGGCAAGAAAGATAAAGTATGGAGCATATAGCATGATAGTCCCCATCTTACAAAATTAAGTACTCGATTGAGTTGAATAGACTATGATTAGATTGTCATCAATGTAAAAAAAATCACATGACTAATCTATGACCATCCGAACTTGTTTTCTCACTTGACCCACTTCAACTACATCGAGTGACATCACTGACGCTCTTATCATGATACAAGAAAAAATTCACAGTAGTTAAGTAAATGCATATATCAAGGACATTACAACAGGGTGTCCGGATCCACATCTTACTATAAGGTACTATTACAACCTGTGATATTTTATTTCAAACCTTGTGTTGAATACCCAATTTGATCATTAATTCAAATCTTCTATTGATCTAGGTTCCGAAGCAATAGTTTGAACCAAGTTCAAAACTAATCTTCAAACGCTAAGGTTTTCAAATAGAAGTTCCAACTCAGTGTTAAAATATGGTTCAAACTTAGCTTGTAAAATAATGTGGGTCCTATCAAATGCGCGAACAAAGTTCAAACACCATGCTATGGGTTCACACTGAATTTTGAAGCTAGTTGAAATTTGCTAAAGAACCCAATGTGGTTGACGTTTTTCCAGACTGCTGTGAAGTTATTTGTTTGAACATAAGGTTCAAATCTAGCATTCAAATACTATTTTAAACCTAATATCCAAGCACACCTTCCTTTAGGTTGCAAAATAAGACGTGATATCTTGACTAATCCATAATGCGTGTCCATATGTGTTGCCACTAAACTCCACACAGTACACGAAATATCAGTGAACAAAAAGAGAATCCGCTCCCCATATTCAATGCACATCACCTTATCATTTTACACCAAATCAGACCTTAGCTTATATAATCCATCTTTCAAAAATTGCAGACGATCAACTAAAAAAATGACACACCTATCCGCTGCCACAAAATTAACTCTCTATATACTAACTATATATTATATATTATAATAATTTATTTAATATTTTTATAATATTACAGTTTCATCTAAACCACAATATCAAAGGTCTCAAATGGTGGGTCTGACCAAAACCCTAATTTGGTAGAAGAAAGTTTCCTTTTTTCCCCCAATTTCTCTCCTTAGCATATATTCTCAATAGAAGCTTCGGAGATTTCAAAATTTTCTAGATGTTTCTCACTCTTAAAAAGTCAAAATAAAGAAAAATCTGCATTTTCCCTTCCTGTCTACCAAGCCAGATCCCTATTTCAACCCTGCGTACTTCAAATCCTAACCCTTAAATCCCCAAATTCCCCATCATCGCGAACGCAATCAAACTTCAACAATGAAGAAGACGTCGTCACTTTCGGAACTCGGCCTCGCGGCCGATGCCTCCGGCTTGATTTCCGACACTTTCCATCCGCCGCACCGCCTTCCCCCTCTTCCGACGCACTAAGGTGTCAGTGATCGGCGCCGGCAACGTTGGACAGATGGCGATGCGCGCAGTACGATCTCTCCACACGCAAGACCTGCCTCGTGATCTCCTCCTGTTGACGCGAAGGCTGATAAGCTCCGTCGAGAGCTGAGACTCGCTCTCCTCGTCAGCGCCGCCGCTTTCCTCCCCGTACCCACATTAAAGCATCTACGGACTAGCCATCACTGCGCGTTCCGATCTCTGCATCGTGACCGCCGGCGCCCGCCAGATCGTCGGCGAGTCTCGCCTCGATCTGGTTCAGCGTAACTTAACGCTATTCCGGGAGATCATTCCGCCGCTGGCACAGTACTCGCCGGACTGCATCATCCTCGTCGTCTCAAATCCGGTAGATGTGCTCACCTACATTGCTTGGAAGCTCTCTGGTTTCCCATCCAATAGGGTTATTGGCTCCGGGACTAATCTCGATTCATCGCGTTTCCGATTCCTCCTTGCTGAGCATTTGGAGGTCAATGCTCAGGATGTCCAGGTCAAATTAATTTTTTTTACTGAATTTTATTTTTTTCTGATATTTTAAAAAAATAAATTTTTTAAATTTTAAGTATTTTTGCGTAATAATTCGAACTATCTATAAAGCTCTTTATTTTTATATCATTTAACAAATATTAGTCAGTATATTCCTCAAATAATTTCAAATGTACTATTATGTGTTATGTACAGTTAATTCTTTTCATAATGTTATCATTTTAACATATTAAAATAAGTTTAATAGCTTATAATTTTGGGTGAGGGTTCTTAGTCTAAACAGAATTTTCATCATCTCATGAGTCAAAAGTTGCTGTCTAATTTTTGACCAGTCATTAATGTAGTATAATTTTATTTATTTATTATTATTAATTTTTTAAATAACTCTAATATTTTTAAATTTAATATTTTTCCTTTTTTTAAAGTACACATCTGTATAATTATTTATACATGCAATATTTTTTGATGAAAAAAAATTATTGACTTAGCCATATTTTAATTCATATATCTTTTGTTATGAGTCTCAATTTACTTTGAATGTGTTAATCTAAATTTATTTAATTTTTTATATATTATATTTATCTTAAAAATAAATTATGCTTCAATGTATTTAGAGAGTTATCGTAATTATATATTCATAAACTTTTTTTCAACATAACCTTATTTGGCTACTGATTTATTTCTTTCAAATTTAATGTTTTAATTTATCATGTAAGATGTAGTTCTATATTTAAC